CAATTTATTTACTCTTAAGACTTCCAGATAGTAGTGATTTGTCAATATGCATATGAATCTTTAGTCCTGGCATTCTGAACTCAAAACCTCAATAGACTGGTTTCTTGACCCTTAAAGTGTTTTATTTTTAGTAAATACGTTTTTAATTCTGTGACCTCAAACCTCCAAACTACATTAGGATTGCATAATTTTATAGTGATTTATCCCCCTCTATTGCTTTAAATTTAATAATTCCATCTTCTTTATCAGTATTTAATTTTTTCTGTAAAGGCCCTTTTATTTAAAATGTTATATATTCTGATTTCTTAATTTTAGGGATTTTTCTCTAGACAATTGAGAATATGTAATTTTTACACTTTAATGTTCATTTGATTATAACCTACACTTGAAAAGCAATTTTTAAAGAAATCTGAGAGAATTTAAAAATCATTTTAAAAGCATCATGTCATTTTTAGCTCGAAATACTTAAGAGACTTTTTTTTTTTTTTTTTTTGGAGACAGGGTCTCGCTGTTGTCCAGGCTGGAATGCAGTGGCGCCATCATGGCTTGCTGCAGCCTTGACCTCCCAGGCTTTAGATCTTCCCACCTCAGCCTCCTGAGTACCTGGGACCATAGGCATGTACCACCACACCTGGCTACTTTGTTTGTTTGTTTGTTTGTTTTTTGTAGAGATGGGGTCTTGAGTCCAGGCTGGTCTGGAACTCCTCAGCTCAAGCGATCCTACTGCCTCAGCCTCCCAAAGTGCTGGGATTACAGGTGTGAGCCACAGCCCCCAGCCCAGAGTCTTCTTTTTACTAACAGTGTACAACATAAAATTCAAACTCTAACATGTTTTTACATCTGGCCCCTACCTACCTTTCACCTCTCCTTCTTTGTCACATACTCCACCTGTTCCCATGCACTTTAGACTCAAGTAATAAAAAACAGCTTGTATTGCTAGGAACAGGCCGCATTCTTTCATGGTCTGACTTTATACACACTCTCTTGTGGCAATCTAGAACACCCTTCTATAGGCTCTCTTACGTTCAGGCCATACCCTCTCTGTGAAATTTTTAATCTATAATATTCAACTGAAACTTTACCTCTCTGCAGCCTTCCCTAATCTCCTCAGGCTTTTCCATTGTTCATATTCTATCTTGTAACAATTATCATATTGTTAAAGTCATTCCCCAGTAAACTATGAGGCCCTTAACTGCAGAAGGGAAAGCATCTTTTTAACCTTTGTTTTTGTACCATACTTAGCCTTGAGACTGACATTAAGCAGGTACTTCTCAACAAAAACAGGGTAGAGAGAGATAACAAGGGATTCCCGACACCTAAGCTGTAGATAGCTATAACATTTCAATAGGAATCCTGGGAATCTGGGGAACTGGAAGCAGCTGGGAAAGCACCGGCATCTGAGCCACTCGGTACTCTTCAGGCTTGTGTGTGAGCCTTGCTACCTTCAGGTATTAGCACTTGAAATATAACTTCTTTATGAAGCTCCTTATTTACTTGCCTTCTTGGTTAAAAAAAAAAAAAATTCCGAAAACCTTTTCTTACCCCATCTGGTGCCAGCAGTATATAATTCCTAATAAGCTTGAAAAGATAATGTTGGTAATACTTTACAAGTTTATTACTAATGTTTAACATTTATTAAGTGCTTACTGTGTGCTGATCTCTGTGCTTATGTATTTTTCATATATCACCTCATCTATCTTCACAACAGTTCAATGAAGTAGATGCCATTATTATCCCAATTTAACAAATGGGAAAAATGAGATTCAATGAGATGAACTAAACTACCCGAGGCCATACAACTAGTGACTAAGGTGGCCAAAATTTGAATCTAGTGTAGATTCAAATTAGAGCTCATTCTCTTATTCACTACCGGTGAATATTGCCTGGCCATAACTGAAACCCAAATAACAGCATGGTTATAGTATGGGCTTTAAAATAATCTAGACCTGGATTCAAAATCCATGTATTGGAGGCAAGTGACTTCACTTCTGATCTTCAGTTTTCTCATATGTAAAATGATACTATCTTCCTCAATAGAGTTACTGCCCACCCAAGTACATGGTACATACTCAAAAAACAAATGTTAGTTCCATTTGCCACTTCTACACTTTATGTGAACCCGGGGGTAATGGTTTGTACAGAATAAGACCTGGCATGAGAAGACAAATAACCATCTGACAAATAAAAAGGCTGTCATTCTGTCTACCAGAATTTCAACCCGTGCCTGTCTTCCAGGATCAACAAGTGTTTTATTACCATAATCACATTTATTCTCTTAATGAAAAGGGTGTGTCTTGAGTATTTAATAGTTAATTACCCATAAATATACTACTGTAGAATAAGGAATAAAACCAGTGATCTGTCTACTATACTAACTAGGCTTCTTTCTTAGTAATACTTAGGGAACATATGAGGGTTCCCTGTGGGTGGTTGTTTATTATATAAAATAGTTGCTCCAGTAGTTCCATAATAGAGACCTGTCAGTGCCATTCAGCAGAGAAAAATCATAAACACAGCTGCTGTTTTTGTGTGGCTTGTGGTTTTGGTTTTGTTTTCATTTGAACTTTTTTATGCAGGCATGTCATTTAAAAGTAGTCATTTGGCGTTTTCCCTTGCATTCTTCAAATTTTTTGTAGGTTTAAAAAAATTTAAGTCACTTCTATGATTGTTCATACAGATTGATCCATCTGGTCTTTTTACTAGCCAATGAAATTTTTTACATGTAGGAAATAGGACAATTATTTTAAATATTGTAAGTTCAGTGGATCTCTTTTATAAGTTTGAAGAAAAATAGTTTCAACTATCAAAAAATAATTTTCTTACATTCTTCATTGTTTCCAGTTAATTTCTGTATTTCTGTGGGTGGGAAAAAGGCTAAAAATGTCTGCTATTCCTACTCTTCACATCCTTTATATGTTATAACTCTGAAGCATACCATAATTATTTGTTTGCAACCAAGAATTGGTACAGCATAAATGTATAATCAGATTAGGCCCTCTCGCTCTCTTTAAGTCACTCTGGCTATGAGGGGAGGTGGATTATAGGGGGCAGGCATAGATTCGGGGAGACCATTTAGGCCTTTGCAGTGGTCCAGAAAAGAAATAGTGATGACCAGCCCAAATACCACAGAGTGGTATTTGAAAGAGTGTAGACAGAATAGAGAATTAATGAAGCTTGTTCATGGGTTAGATGTTGATTGGTGTGAGATGGAGAGAGGAGTAAGGGATGGCAGGTTTCCTCTCCTCTTTCTTGTGTTTGTTCAACTCTTACCTTTTTTTTTTTTTTTTTGGAGATGGAGTCTCACTCCGTCACCCAGACTGGAGTGCAGTGGAGCGATCTAGGTTCACTGCAACCTCTGCCTCCCAGGTTCAAGCAATTCTCCTGCCTCAGCCTCCTGAGTAGCTGGGATTATAGGCATGTGCCACCACATGCAGCTAATTTTTGTATTTTTAGTAGAGACGGGGTTTCACCATGTTGGTCAGGCTGGTTTCGAACTCCTGACCTCGTGATTCACCCGCCTCAGCCTCCCAAAGTGCTGAAATTAGAGATGTGAGCCACTGCGCCTGGCTGCTTATCTTTAAAGGATTAAGTTTATGTTACCTACTATGGGAAACCTTCCCACCCCAAACTTGATGACCGTGTTATGTGCTTTTATAGAACCTGGCACTTCTCCAGGATAGCATTTATTCTGTTTTGTAAGTGTGAATTTAATTACCCCACACACAGCATACACATAATGTTCATATTCTTTGCTTTGTCTTGTGAAGGCAAGGGCCATGTCTATATTATTCGTCATTCGATTCCCACACCCAACATAGTCCTGGGGATAGCACCAATGCACTTTTGGTGCATAAGCAAATAGTGTCATTTATAGCTGTTACCTACAAGTCCTGATAGACTAATCAAATATAGTAGATTATCTGGGCCTTTTTGATTCATTTCTGTAGCTTAACTTTCTTTTTTTTTCTTGTTTGGTATCTCTCACTTTGCCTTTTGATATACTCTTACAGTTTCACTCACTGAATAAAAGAAAATATAAACAGCAAGAAGTAAACTTGTGTTTTATGGATTTTGATAATATCTTCTAAAAGACCCCCAGGATTGTTGATGTCTTAAAAAATTAAGGGCCTTCAACTCATAATTAATACTTAATAGTTTTTAAAATATTACAAACTGATTGGAACATGGCACTGACAAAGAGAGTCATGGATCTTATTTACGTGTAGATTCATTTCAGTCAGAAGTGTTAGGACTGGGTTATTTGAGAAAGTAGGTAGATCATTACAAATTCATCCTCATACTTCAAGGAAAAATCATTGATGACACTTTCTAATATTGTGAATATATACCTAAATCATACTTTAAGAACAGAATGTCTAAGATATCACCTAGATAAGAATCAACACAAAAAGAAAAAGGAAAATTACAAAGATTGATTTAAGAAAGAAAAGACTAAGCCATAAAATTTCTCATTATTACATGAGGCAGAGAGTGAAATGAGGGCAGAGAGTGAAAAAGGAAAAGGATTTGACTTCTCTAGGCATGGTTTTACTTATTTTAAAATAAGAGCAGTGGACCCATGATCTAAAAGATTCTTTCTGGCCTAAATTCTGTTGTTCCATAAGATAGAAGAGAATAATAAAGGTGATATGCAACGGGAATTTTGGGTTGAATTGCAGCTTACTTTTCATTCTTCCCATAGCCTTATCTCTGGCTTGATGAAACCTGACTTAGAAAATCCACTCAAATATATATAATGTTTTCTTAAATGACTTTATTAAATTTAATTAAATACAAGTGGTTTTTCTAATCTCTGCTGAAATAAACTCTTTATAGCCTAATTTAGAGCAACAGTCTCGATTAAAATATTTAAGATGAATTATTACTACTTAGCCTAATCACGTCAAACTATGGAAAATTAGTTTTTACATTTTAGCAATGTTACAAATGTATTCTGTAGTTGTATCTCTTTTAACTTACGTTTTCCTTCTTTGATTTAGGTTTCTGCTTTGGGACAACCATACGTCTAATTCCTTAAAGTAGTTTTATATGTAAAACCTGCAAAAAATCAGAACAATGCCTCCACGACCATCATCAGGTGAACTGTGGGGCATCCACTTGATGCCCCCAAGAATCCTAGTAGAATGTTTACTACCAAATGGAATGATAGTGACTTTAGAATGCCTCCGTGAGGCTACATTAATAACCATAAAGCATGAACTATTTAAAGAAGCAAGAAAATACCCCCTCCATCAACTTCTTCAAGATGAATCTTCTTACATTTTCGTAAGTGTTACCCAAGAAGCAGAAAGGGAAGAATTTTTTGATGAAACAAGACGACTTTGTGACCTTCGGCTTTTTCAACCCTTTTTAAAAGTAATTGAACCAGTAGGCAACCGTGAAGAAAAGATCCTCAATCGAGAAATTGGTATGATACAGTATCCTATTCTAAAATGCAGATCACTATGAAGCTTAACTGTTGTCTCTTACTAAAATATTTCTGTCTAAACCAATCCCTTTGTAATCTTAAATAGCTTTCTAAATAAAAATCATTATAAATCTAAAGTATGTTTTACTATCAAACTATGGAACTATTTTTAACACCTTGATATTATTCCATAAGGTTTTATTTAAGAAATATCATTTGGAGGATGACTTAGATTTGTTATATCTCAATTTTGTTATTCTTTTAAAAATGATTGATAGGAATGTTTGCTGTCTTTGCTCTAAATTGCTGAATATATTATTTTTTATGTATTAAAAATATTTGGGACTTTACCAACTCTTAATATATATGCATTCATCAAAAATTTTTTTTCACCTAGAGGTACTTTTTTTACTCTGTTGTGATCTTCCAAATCTACAGAGTTCCCTATTTGTAAAAAAACATGTTCATACTATGTATGTAATAGAATGTTATATTCTTTATGTAATTTTATTAAAGGTTTTGCTATTGGCATGCCAGTGTGTGAATTTGATATGGTTAAAGATCCAGAAGTACAGGACTTCCGAAGAAATATTCTGAATGTTTGTAAAGAAGCTGTGGATCTTAGGGATCTCAATTCACCTCATAGTAGAGCAATGTATGTCTATCCTCCAAATGTAGAATCTTCGCCAGAATTGCCAAAGCACATATATAATAAATTAGATAAAGGTAAGAAAATGACTAATCTACTCTAATCGTTACTATAGTGCAGTCTTCTACCTGTGCCTAAATCTTTGTGTAGTCTTTTTTGTTTTTGTTTTTTTTTCCAGCTAGATAGTAAGCTGCTTGAAGGCAGGGACTGCTTATACTGACAAGACATAGTTGAGTGCTAAATACAAATTGTGTACAATCAATATTTATTGGTTGAATTTTTGTATGAATATGATACTGATTTCTTGGTAAATTGTCTATAAAGTGGAAGAAGTATGAGTTTGAAATTTACTATTTTTTAGTATTCAGAATTAGAGCTGATTATCTTTTCATAAATAAAAACAAGTATAAATAGAAACATTTCATGAAATTTTGGGAGAACTTTATACATTCTTGTTGTTACATATCATAAATACACCAGAAAAAAATAAGTAATTTTCCTAAATATTAAATGCAGTAATTCTGATCATGAGTGATAATATATAGGTAGATTTTTGACATTTAATGTATCAGTTTCTAGAATTAAGTGAACAGGAAACTATATAAACTATATTGTTTTCGAAATACATGTCATTGTATCAGATAAATGTCTGTATTTTTGAGGGTAACAAAGTAAAATTATCAGTTTGAGTTAACTCTCACACACTATTAAATATCAAATTCTATCAGTAGACTAAGTTAAGACATCTTATTACTATTTTATCCGTATTTTTCAAAGTAGTTTAATGCAACATAAGATCTTTCAAAATTCTATTCTAGCATATATTTTTAAGTGAAATGCTTTTTTCATTTTCCCCAGCATTTTTTGTGAAAAATTTTCAACATATAGACAACTTGAAAGAAATTTACTGTGAACACCCAAGCCTCTCTACATAGTTTGTCTTCCCATTTTCTCCATCTTTCTCTTTTCTTTTTTTTGACCTCTTGGCTTAGTTAATCTTAAAAGGAGAAAATTAGACAATCCATTTCCTCTTCCCTCTTGATTTTCTTACCTTTCCTCCCTCACATTTTCTGTCATTCTAATTCAACATCTTTAAGCCTCCGTTGGTTCTTTCTTTACTTCCCATGGTTACCAGAAACTCTTTCACCTTAGGCACTGTCGAACCTTTGATACCATCATGAATCACTGTTCACAGGGGCAGTACCCATGCAGTAATGTCATACAGTTTAGAATGGAAATTAGTTTGGTCTCAGATACTTGTGACCCACTTGTCACAGTTTTGTGTGCTTGTCATAAAACATGAGAGTTGGGAATGGTCTGGCAGCCCGCTCAGATACGAACATTTTCTATTTCTACTGATATTTACCTAGTTTTAATTGGGCTGATTAAAAAGCATTTCTGATATGGATAAAGTAATGATAGTGCACACTTGTTGAAATTTTTCCCTTGAAAAATGAAAGAGATATGGTGATTGCATCTAATAATATTTTCCTGTTATAGGGCAAATAATAGTGGTGATTTGGGTAATAGTTTCTCCAAATAATGACAAGCAGAAGTATACTCTGAAAATCAACCATGACTGTGTACCAGAACAAGTAATTGCTGAAGCAATCAGGAAAAAAACTCGAAGTATGTTGCTATCCTCTGAACAGCTAAAACTCTGTGTTTTAGAATATCAGGGCAAGTATATTTTAAAAGTGTGTGGATGTGATGAATACTTCCTAGAAAAATATCCTCTGAGTCAGTATAAGGTGAGTAACAAGTTTCAAAATAGTAATTTTTAATTTAAAAAGTAATCACATTGAGGATGAGTATCTTTTTTTTTTTTTTTTTGAGGCGGGGATGGAGTCTCGCTCTGTCGCCCAGGCTGGAGTGCAGTGCCATGATCTTGGCTCACTGCAAGCTCCGCCTTCCAGGTTCACACCATTGTCCTGCCTCAGCCTCCTGAGTAGCTGGGGCTACAGGCGCGCATCACCACACCTGGTTAATTTTTTGTATTTTTAGTAGAGACAGGGTTTGCACCGTGTTATCTAGGATGGTCTTGATCTCCTGACCTCATGATGCACCCGCTTTGGCCTCCCAAAGTGCTGGGATTACAGGCATGAGCCACCGTGCCCAACCAAGTATCTGTATTTTTAGAATATACTTATTGCCGGGCGCGGTGGCTCAAGCCTGTAATCCCAGCACTTTGGGAGGCCGAGACGGGCGGATCACAAGGTCAGGAGATCGAGACCATCCTG